TAGTGATTATCGAATTATACACTTGCTAGACTCTGACTCTGGAGATCTCTTTTTGAGTAGATTGGGATATGATGTATATTTGTGATTGTACCAGGAGAAGATATTTATTCTAATGAGTTTATTTTGTAGAATCTTTAGAACAGTTTAACCTTCTCAATACTGGCCCTCTTTTTACTCTAACAGGGAGATTATTACTCTAACTCATATAATTATGCTCTAATAGGCCAGCACAATAAAGTCCATGTATATATTATTTTAGCCTAGTTACTGGATGAACCCCAAGTACTATTTAAAATAGGAAGAGGACTTTTTTTTACTTTGTGATATCCTGTTATGTGATTCCTTATCCCAGTACTGTATACATTTTAGAGTATTTTGACTTACCATTTGATACTATAAATACCTTTCCAGGTCGCACTGGTCCACATCTTGTGGGTTCTTTGTATATTTAGAAATAAAATATTAACATGTATTCCCTCCAAATTATTACTTGAGCATATCTGTTTATAAATGATCTAAAGTCATTGAACGTCATGTGCCAGTGTTTGCAGATGACACAAAACTAACTTGGATAATACAGTCTGAACATTATGTAACTTCTATACAGTGGGATTTGGATAAATTATTGGACTGGGCAGGTGAGATTCAACACAGAAAAATGTAAAGTCATGCATTTTTTTTTTAACAAGGAACCCACAAGCCACTTATACATTAAACTGGGTTGAATTAAATAACATTAAATGAAAAAGAAAAGGTAGAAATCCACATGCATCACAGTGTAAGTTGCAAATTAAAAAAATTATTGTGGTTAAAAAAAAAAAAAAAGCCTTAAAGGTGAGGGTCGGAGAGGAGACACTATGTCAAGCCCCATTATAGATAATCCGCCCCCACTTACTGGTATTGGCTGCCCAGTCACTAGTTTTAATGTTTAGTAGACATGCCCTCATCTGATAAATGCAGTACTTCAAATTATCATTCACTGGCAAATAGCAAGTGAGTGATAATTTGCGAACGGAAAACCTACAGGATGCATTTGGTTTATTACTGGCCGCAATGCGGTCGTTTATAAATCTGTGATTCTGGTACTGTAAATTGGCACGGAAGGTATTTAGTGTTCTATGAAAGTAGGGACCAGATTACCAGGTATTTTTACATATACTTCATTTTTTTTTTTTTAAATGCCATATCTTTTCAACACATGCTGCAAGGATTCTTAGAAATAGAAAAAAATTAATTTCTGACAGTTGTCCTTTAAATCGAAGCCATAGTTACTTGGTGTTTTGCTTGCATTGATTTCTATAATAGGGAAAAAGTGCAGGAACATGCACAAAACCTTTCCTTATGGTTTGTTTTATTGAAGTTATAAGGTTAGTTTTGAAAGCCTATATTTGAGATTCATGGATTTTTAAAAAAAAAATTATTTTGTATTAAGGACATTACAAGCAAATAGGAGTTATATCAAGAATACACATACATAATAGAACTCAGCATTAATACAAAGAGGAATGCAACAGCGCCTCAATGGGTAATTCACTCTCCATCCCACATTAGGTCTCCGTCTGTGACGCTGCACCACTCGGGCTTGGGCATGATAGGTGTTATCTGCAGCTTGGGAAGCTTCACCCAGTGGAGTTCCTTCACCGAGAAGTAGTGAAGAATCTGATCTAGTTGGTACAAGATCTTGCATGTGGCATCCACTATCTTGTGTGCCTATGTTAGTTATGCCTTGCGCCTGTTCCAACAAAATTGGAGCCTCAAAGGGGTAGACCAGTCCAGAGGGGGGAAAATGGGCACCAAATAGCAGCACAACTCAGAAATGGAGGTCAGTTGCCTCTCGACTCCTTCAGACATGCGAAGCCTCCAGGCCAACACTCAGCCCTCCACCAGCATGCTCACTTAACAACAGCACATATACATTCAGAAGTGACCCCAGTCGGTTCTGGAAAGTCGGTAAGGTAAGTTGCTTCATCAATGGGCTATAATTAGCAAAGTTGCATCCGTCCGACATGACGGTCAGGCCCTGCCCCTGAGATTTATGAATTTTAAAGTATATGAAATATATATATATATATATATAGAGAGAGAGAGAGAGAGATTGTGTCTGACAACATCCATGCTGCATAATATTACTGTAATAATACCTATACTTCCAAACAGTGCAACAGAAGATAAGTGTATTGCCATAACATGTACCATAATAATTTCTTTTACTAATTACTAATAATTTCCTTTATCTAGAAGATGACTATGTGCATCCTGACCTTGACTGATTTGAAATAATTGTTCTACTTATGGTAAGAGACCACAACTATCATTATTTGTTCTTGAAAACCTTTAGTATTTTACTTCCTGCATCCGTTTTCTGTATTGATTAAAGGAACATTCTAAGCACCATAACTACTATAGTGCACTGTAGAGGTTAATGTGCTAGGATTGGCCTGGTGAACCCCAAGTACAAGAAGTCAAACTGTTCAGTAATCATTTGACTTCTAACTTGGGGTCTGCTGGGTGCAGATTCATACCTGCTCTCTTCCGAAAGAGACTAGGAAGCTCCTACGCAGGAGATACTGTTAACTGTCCTTAACTAACCCCGTAGTAAAAGGATAGCTCATTGGCTGAGAGCATCAGCTGGTCACTCTCACTCCAGGGCTTAGCTCAGTGAAGAAAGTAGGTGTGGAGTGGTGCCCGGCAGGCATAGGTAATTTAAACTATGTATAACTCCTTACCTGGGAGGGTGCCAGGACACTCCTGACAACATTACCACTACAGTGTACTGTAGTGGTTATGGTGACTGGGATTTTTCTTTAAGTGAAACTGCAGATTTGTATACATGTTACATAATATTATTTAATTTTAAACTGTGTTTTAAATTTATTTTAACTTTTTACAGGCAGCAGGGGGACTACCTGTCATTCCAGGCACTCCCCCTTCTGGCACTGCTATTCCGTCCATGTGAGGGCCGGATCGCCGGCCGGGGGACTCCCTGGGATGTCAGGTAAGTCCCTCCCCATCACGATCGCCGGCGAGCAGATAAGTGAATAGGACGGTGTGGACGTGCTATACCACCTGCCGACGTTTAGAGCTGGGTCTTCACGCCTGCCGTCCTTAAGGGATTAAAGAAGCACTATAAGGTCAGGAACGCAAACGTATTCCTGACCCTATAGTGTTAAAACCGCTATCTAGCCCCCCAGGTCCCTATTGCCTCCCTAAATATTGTAAAATCTTACTTATATTCAAATCTGGAGCTCCTGGCTCTGCCTCTGTCTGCTTACATTATCAGAAGTGGTAGTCTGAGCCAATCATAATGCTTCCCCATAGGATTGGCTAAGACTGTCAAGGAGGCAGATCAGGGGCAGAGCCAGCATGATTCAAACACAGCCCTGGACAATCAGCATCTCCTCATAGAGATGAATTGAATCAATGCTTCTCTCTGAGGAAAATTAAGTGTCTGCATGCAGAGGGAGGAGACACTGAATGGCAGTGCTGCTTACTCTGCAGCACTGCTCAAGGGAGGAGCGTTAGAAGCCATCTAATAAGTGGCCAGTGGAGTTATTACTAGGTTGTAATGTAAACACTGCATTTTCTCTGAATTTACAGCAAAAAGCCTGAAGGCAATGATTCTACTCACCAGAACAAATTCAATAAGCTCTAGTTGGTTCTGGTGACTTAAGTGTCCCTTTAACCCCCTAAGGACCAAACTTCTGGAATAAAAGGGAATCATGACATGTCACACCAAGTGTGCCAAGTTGTGCATATTTTTGTTATGCACTTCAAAAAATCCTACTCTGTATAACTATTTTTAGCAGACTTAGACAATCCAATAATGATTTCAAACTTATGTATCGGTTTCCATACGCACTCGTAAATCAAATTTATTGTCATGAAACTCCAGCATAGAAAAATCACAAAACACAAGCTTAACATCACTGTTGACCTACTGTGGTAATTTTGAGTCTGGCAATACACGGTTTATTTTCTGGGATATAAAGTCTATTGAAACTGATCATTGCATGGAATGCTTAAATTCTAAATACAATAAATTGTATTACAAATTATATATATTTCTTTCATATTCACAAAGAAAAGTACTCATTACAATTTGAAGAAGGCTAAACACTGTCTTACTCCTATACAGGAATACGAATTGGAATGGGGTACTCGTTTACACAGAGAGCTGGAATTTTTCCAAAGACTGTGTGCTGATGTAAACAGAGCAACCTATATACTGGGCAGATAACTAATGGAACTATAAGAAAGCTATTCCTGCACAAAACTGACAACATAATGTATAAAACTGCAACTTGTAACCAAGTATAAATAGTTGGCACTTGACAAAGAACAATCGATTTGTAATCTGGACCTAAATCAAGTTTACTCACTATATTGCTATGGACTACCAACATTTTCATATACATCATGTAAGGAGATTTTACTATAAATGTGGCACATTTCAATAATGCATTACATCCAAAATTAGAGTTTTTCCAGCATTTAACATGCACAGACATTTACAAGAATGAAATGATTCTAGAAAATTAAGTGATGAAAACAGACAGGTCAGTTTAATCATTATTAGAGTATTCGACTGCAGTCTGGACAGCTATCCAAAGGAAAATCTAGAATTTAAAAACTAGGTCTCCCCAATTATCCTACATAATAAGTTTACTCTGCATCCCTGTAAGGAATTTGGACAATTAAAACACATAGACAGGTGTATTTAAAAGTAGCATATATATTGATTGTACTGCTAAATTAGGCTTCTCTTACAGTTTGTCATAAGTATAAACATAAAAACATTGTATTAATGCATAGGCCTTGAACAAGATATACAAAATAATACGTTTTTTTTATTTATAATTCTGTATATCGGTTTATGGCTTGGTTTCTTATGTCCTCCATGCTGGATACACAGCTACCTCCACTCACATGGACAGATTAAAAAGACTCCTTAGCAGCAGTTCCTCCCCAGGGCTGTCCTCCTTGGAACTCTCTCCCGAACTGTTCTGTTTTTATAAAAGTTTTACCCTTTGATCTTTTCCCACAGCTATACTAGAATATTCTGTAAGAAATGACCAGTTAGGATGGGTTTTAAGCTAGGTTGAGTATACCTCAGCTTTAAAGACAGGATGGCTTGCAAAAACAAATACTTGCATGTTTACACCTAGATGTTAATTACTCACATTCTGATCTCCTGATAACATCAACTGTGTAACCTCTATATACCTCTCCTTTTATATATTTTATATCAGGCCCAAAGGTCAATCGTACAGATGTACACTCCAATATTTCGAACACCTCCACCCACCCACACATCTGTGTCAGAATAGCATAAATCCTAATATGTAGAACTTGACACTGACTTTCCAATCCCCTTAACCTATGTCTAGATCTGCTTAGATCTTTCATTAAAACATTGTCATCTCCTTTGTTATGACCTGCTGATACGGTAATGAAAACAGAAAAAAGTACACCACACCTCTTTTAAATCGTTACACTAGGAAGAAAATTTATATTGTTCTTCTAACCATGTTACATAGTTGTCTAGGTTGCAAAAAAGACTAAAGTCCATCAAGTTCAACCTTCAAATCTATTCTTTTATGCTGTTGATCCAAAAGAGGGCAAAAAAACCCCCAACAATTCTAGCAGTTACTATAATGAATTATCCTTGATTAAAGGTATCACAACTTGTAATTGACGCATGCATTGTTGGATTCTATGACATACTAACCCAAACAAAAGTAGGACTACTTTGTCTCAGAATTTTTCCTACACCTGACACTTCTAGACATTGGGCGAAGTGTAAATCCCCCAGGAGCAGAAAAGAACCGGATGGAAGAATATGGCACCACCCATGAGGTACAGGTTCAAGTAAGATAAACTCACCAGCCTGTCCCCTCCCAACTCATCTTTGCCGGACTCCCAGCGGCAGTGTCATATCACCGAAGACAGTTATATTGCCACTTTTATTTTTTTGAGTTGAAAGGAAATGCTTTTGTAAAGATGAGTCCCTGGTTATTCTCTATATTAGAGATGTGATTTTTCCCACTTCAGGACCTATTCATATTGCTGAAGGAAAACAATCATAAACTTGATGTCTTCCTTACAGCTACGTGCCAAACCTTATTTTATGAACCGTTTGTTTAGATAAGGAATTACAGCTATGCCTCTTTCCCTTAATACTGCTGCAAGTTCTACCATGATTTTGATTCAAAAATCAAAGGGAGAGACAAAATGAAGGGCCTTGAACTTTAGCGGTAAGATTTTCCTTTCTGATATTACAAACCTAAGAAACTTTCTTGACTCTTTATGCAATAGGTAAATGCAGGTATCTTTTAGAGCTAGTGATACCTGTCCTTCTCCTCTACTGTTCTAGTGATGAAGACACCTCAGCTGAGTTATAGGAACATTCCCTAGAATGGTGATGGCGAACCTTTTTGAGCCCGAGTGCCCAAACCGCAATACATGCCAACTTTTTTTTCCTCAAAGTGCCAACATGGGAATTAAACCTGAAGATTTAAGGAGATTTAAATTTAGAAAAAACAACTCGTACAGTTGTCCGAACTAGTTAACATCTTTTGTTTTAACCCCTTAAGGACTGGACTGTTTTTGCGATGTTGTACATTTGCGACCAGGCCTTTTTTTTACACTTTTGTTTTGTATGTGTTTAGCTGCAATTTTCCGCTCTCTCATTTACTGTTCCCATACAAAGTATATATTGTTTTTTTCAGGACAAAAGGGGCTTTCTTTACATACCATTATTTATATAATCTCATGTAATTTAATTTTAAAAAAATAAACAAAATGATGAAAAATTGAAAAAAAAAAATTTTTTTGACTTTTACTTGAAAAATCTTTTACTCATCTACAAAAGCAAATGAAAAAACTGCTAAAATGCTTTTTTTTGCACGTTATAGGGCTATAGGTACAAGTAAGATATTGCGGTTTCAAAACATACATTTTTAAAATTTATCAATAGTGACATTGTAACACTATTATCTGTCATAAATCTCTGAATCACACCCCACATGTACATATTTTTTTTTTTTTAAAGTAGACAACCCAGGGTATTAAATATGGGGTATGTCCAGTTTTTTTTAGTAGCCACTTAGTCTAAAACACTAGCCAAAGTTAGCGTTAAACATATATAATTTTTTTTTTTTTTTTTAACATTAACTTTTATTTATTTTTATGATTTTACACTAGCAGGGAGACTGCCTGTCAGCACAGACAGTCCCCCTGCAGGCAGACACATGGACACCTATTGTGACCATGTGGTCGCTCTGTTGAGCGATCACATGGCCCCAGAGGTCCTAACCTGCCATGAGTAGACTGTCTGGGCTGCAGGCAGTCTCCCCACACCGGGAGCACTGCCGATCGCCGCTGGGGGAACGACGGCGATCGGGTAAGTACATTGTACCGTTAGGACGGTTCAGGACCGTCACCAGTCGGCATTGCAAAAATGCCGATGACGGTCCTGTACCGTCCTCGATCCTGAAGGGGTTAAAAGATGAACAACAACAGAGAGTTCAATGATACAAATTTTAAATAATGATATAAATTAAGCTTTTATTTATTAGTATCCCCAGCAAATGCAATACATACACACAGACTGCTCAGTACATTCACACACCTACTGCTTAAAAATACATACACACCCCGACACACAGACTGCTCAGTACACACACAGTCTGCTAAATACACACACACACACACAGTCTGCTAAATACACACACACACACAGTCTGCTAAATACACACACACACACAGTCTGCTAAATACACACACACACACACACACACAGTCTGCTGAGTACACAGTCTGCTAAATACACAGTCAGCTGAATACACACACACACACACAGTCAGCTGAATACACACACACACACACAGTCAGCTGAATACACACACACACACACAGTCAGCTGAATACACACACACACACACACAGTCAGCTGAATACACACACACACACAGTGTCAGCTGAATACACAAAGACTGCTGAACACACATATATACTGCATTGAGGGGTGCAGTGTATGTGTGTGGGGGGTGAGGATGCGGTGTGTGTGTGCTCTGTGTGGGGGGGGTAGGAGTGCTGTGTGTAGGGGCGCTGTGTGTGGGGGGGTTGGGGTGCTGTGTGTGGGAGGGTGGGGTGTTGTGTGTGGGGGAGTTGAAGATGCAAATCAGTATCCCCCCCCCCCTTCTTCTTACCTTTGGTGAAGGGGAGGGGGGGAACACAGCCATCCCTGGTGGTCCAGTGGTGACAAGTATCTAGGACAGGATGACAGGTCCTGCAGCTCTCCTGTCCTCCCGCGCAATGCTGTGTGGAGCATTGCCATGGTATCGAGCTGCTTCCTCGATCCCTCCCCTCTGCTTCCGGTCCTGCCGACAAGAAAGCAGAGTAGGCACCTGCCGTTTTGGGCAGGCAGGTTCCTACACTGCATTGATGGCGAACCTATGGCCGGGTGCCCACAGAGAGGGCCCGGCGTGCCATAGGTTCGCCATCACTGCCCTAGAAGATACATTTGAATGGAATGATCTATTTTGCTTTAAATCTAGGAGCATGGTTAGTAAGAATTTGAGTATCCAATAAATATAAGATTACTTTCACAGCTTAAGAAAGAAAGAGTACTGCTCTTGTTGCTTAGACTTTACTAAGAGCATAAGTTAGAATATTTATTTTTTACATCCATCAAGTTAAGGAATGTTGCAAGCTAGTCAGAAATGTGGACGTAGCTCTGTGAGAGATTTTTACACAAGCTCTGTCCTGGAAAGAAGAGAAGACGTCTAAAACCTTATCTATATTCAAAATTATTAGATTTTACAATGTATAACAAAGAATACCTCCCAAAAATACAAAATTATACTTTTTCACCTAGTATATGGTTTCACGTTAATATTTGCACCAATAATGATGTGATTACTACAGAGCATGCGTAACATCACTTCATAATTACAATAGAAGGTGAACACAACCCGAGTATGTATTCCATCAGACTATGTATTTGCACATACTCCATACTGGAAATGATTTCCACCCAGACCAGCATTATGTTTGTCAGCAGAAGTTTGACATGCACTCTACCACAGAGGATAATCAGACACCACTTGAGTTATTTAAGAACTGGAATACCTTGAATTTGGGATAAACATAATGCCTGGGGAGGAAAATATAGGAGTCCTTGAACAGTTGACCCTGCTACTCCACCTACCACCATGGCTAGTTCCCCATCTTTCATGAGAAAAATGGATAAGGTAGAAGGATGTGCAGAAGGAAGTTATTCTGTATGTTAATAAAGGAGAGAATGAACCTAGTTTTAAAATTCTAAGTTTTAGTTTGATCTACAAGTTCTATAAATTGTTTTATATAAAACAATATTTCGCATTTTAAGCAAAATGAAAATTATAAATTCAAGTTAAAGATAAGTTTTGATGCCACCAGTACTCAATAGTCACACCACTATTAACAAATGTGATTCTTGTTGGGAAAGTAAATTTAGTCTGCTCATCTTGTTCCTTAAATCATTTTCTAATTCTTGGTATAACAAAAGTGGGCAGGACATGTTCTTTATAACCGGATTTGACAGTGCTTAACCGAGTTTCTTATCAATTTGGGGTGGGTGAATCTGTATCTAAAAAGAGAACAGCATGTAGGTTGTGCCAAGTAAAGAATGTTAGGGAACAAAATGTGAAAAAAAATATATAAAGAAATAGTTCTACCAGTGTGTTAATTATATTTTTTAACTGTGGCACCTTAACTGATTGACTATTGAGTTCACTCTGCACTTGTGTAAGTTAACACTTTGTATTTGTGTTAGCTTGACATGTGGGACTGAAACTTGTGGTTTTCCAATAAGATATGCCATAAAACTATCTATATGTACCAGGTTCAAAATTCTTTACTATTATTAAAACGTTCAGAATGCTCCGCCCTGGTCTGGAGGCACTACGGATGGAAATTTTTAGTGAATGCCCATACACTTTATGCATATTGAGTAGACTGTGTGTGAGTCACAGCCAGGGGAGGTGTGGCTAGGGCTGTATGGATAGAAAGTGGTTTAACTCCTAAAGTCAACATGGTTGAGCGGTGAGATTGCAGGGGCATGATGTATACCAGGAGTAGGAATGGTTTGGTATGGCAGCTGTTGTGGACTCCACTCCACTGATGCTTTGCAAGCTTTATAGCTGGTAGGAGCATTATGGGGGATGTAGTCCATAACATTTGGAGTGCCAAATATCGCCTACCCCTGATCTTTACACTATAATCGCTTCAGTAAGCTAAAGTTATTTTGATGTCCATATGCAAAATCAGGAGAGACTGCATCCAATAGGATGTATGTTTGCAAAGCATTGTTCACTTGATTTTGTAAGTAAGCGATCACAGGTAGTAAGCGATCACACGTTTCACCTGACTGGACAACTGTTCACAAAATTAAGTGAATGACTTTTTTATTTTACATTCTTAGCATATAAACATTACAAAGGAAAGATTTCACAATAAAAATATATATATAAAAAAAAATGAAAATAATGCAATGTGGAAGAACAAAAAAAAAAACCCAGCAAAAGACAAAAACGTAGAGAAATACTGCCCCACTATGCATTTCATCTTGACGTTGTTGCAGTCTTCTGACAAAGTCGAGCTAGAAGTCCAGCCATTTGTAAGAGAGAGTTGACGCCTTCAGCTACTTTCATGTGTGTGTAACCAATTTCCTGCATATTAAAATATAAATATTTTACAATTATTTCTTATAATAAAGCTTTTATTTGCATGTGGAGACAAAACACATTTGCAACACTCGTAAAATATGTGTTAAAAGGAAATACTAAGTGGATCAAAATTTTTGCATTCCACAATCATGTACTGCCTTGACATGAGATGCAACCTGCTTGTATACAAAAAGCAGACATAAGTAAGAAGGGTTAACGTTGCATTAGATGTATAGAGGTAGGTTTCTATTAACTATTACAACACTGGTTTCCAACACAGTCCAATCAAGGCACACCAACAGTTTAGTATTTATTCATGGAAAATTCTGTTCCACGGATACCGACAAACCCTGGACGAAAGGTTTATTTTTCATGTTTGTGACAGCGAATTGAACAGTTCCATAAAGTTTAAATCACAACCACATATTGGCCATGTGCAGTCTTACCTTTATAAATTCCAGCTTGAGGTATTCAGGCATTTGAAAAGTCTTGCACACTCTGAAAATATTGCCTATGATATCTTCAGGAGAATACCCAAGTTTCCACAGATGAGCCACTATCTAAAAAAAAAATAAAAAAATAGTAACCTCCCAGAAATAGATACAGATTCATGTAATAAAATATTTTAGAAGTTTAAAGCTCAAATTTGTGCATTGCACCCAAATGCTATTGCCTTGAAAATTACCGTAAATATGTAATACATTTTGTTGCTCACACAGTACATGTAACTGTGACACTCTTCTGTTATAATATATATATATATATATATATAAACCTACTACAGAATCACTGCTATAAAAATATACATATGGTGATTTTTAAAAAATATATTTGTAATATATAGATATATAAAAAAAAACAATCACTCCTGCATGAAAAATGCATACCTTATATGCTTCATCTATATTTGCATTCACACAGTGCTGTAACATTTCTTTCACCAGTAATGGATGAGGTTCATCACATACCTAGAAAGACAAGAGACAAACTGTTAGACATGTAGCAACAGAACATAGAATATTCAACGTTCTTCACCAGAAAGCACACAGTGAGGTTTCTATCATTTCAAATATATGCAGGAAATATACAACAGTTTAATGCTGAATTTTACGGTCATAATTTTCTAAAGCTAGAAAAGCAAAAGAACATTTGAACATATACAACAGCATGTTCACTAACCAAGTGACCTAACACTTTGGCTCTGTATACATAAGATTATTTATATTTTGATACCACAACTTTAACTTTTTAAACAGGGGTTTAATCATAAAAATAAGGGTAGGGATTTTTTTTTTTTTTTTAAATAAAGCTTTTAAGCATATATTCTCAAATTACTTAATGCACTTAGCACTGTCGGATTAACGTGAAAGGTTAACAGGTCACATGTTATACATAGCTAAAAAAAAACAAATATGCTAAAAATGAAACGTCTTGACAGCAATTAGTCAACTGATAAACAATGACAATGGTTTTTCATCATTTAAAATAAAAGATAAAACATCATATAGTAATGTGTACTTATACATATATACAGAGGGACCTCGGTTTACAAACGCCTCGGTTAACATAATTTTCGGTTTACAAATGAAAATCCATTGAAAATAATGCCTCGGTTTACAAGTTTGTTTCGCAATACAAAACAAGTTTCCTCAGGATGCATTGCACCTGGGAGGTTTATTGCACCGCCCCCTGCATGCTGGAGCCTGTGGGTAGCACGTGGCGTAGAGTGTGGAGGTGTTGGAGCGGCTTTTGCATCGAGTTTTGGAGCCATTCTGGAAATTGTTTGCAGTTGTGTTGGGACTTTTTGGTGCATTTCTCAAGCTGTGGAAAGGTAGGGAGCTGAGTTTCGTCGTTTGGATGTCTTTTATTGTGTGTTCTGCATTGTGGGTTGGTTTCCATGCCAGCTCATCTTTACTTTTTTCTGAGCTCCAGAACGGATTAATTGGTTTTCAATGCATTCCTATGGAAAACCGCGTTTCGGTTTACACATTTTTTGCAATAAGAAATGTCCCGGAGAATGCATTAAATTTGTAAACCGAGGTCCCACTGTACCTCTTTTCAGTGAATATATCCACTTACCCTAGCTATATGCAATTAGCCATCTTTAGGTTGTTTTGTTGACAGCACCACTAATCCCACCAAAGACCATACAAGTAACGGAGAGTATGTGCGTATTTTGTAATCCCATCATCTTGCACAAGCACGGCACATCACAAAATGTGCTTTAAGACACTTCCAATAAATTACCTATGGTCTTCAGTCAGATAAGCAGAGCATCAGATCAAAAAGGATTTAAAGTAGGTTGCCCTATGGTGCAAGGGTTATCCAGATATACTGAACCGATACAGAGTCACTTCCCAAATTTCATCTTATGTTTACTTATGCCCTATATTTAATAGCCGGTATGTATTTGCAATTTGACAAAAATAAAATGAAATGTAGAAAACCACACGACTTTACCCTGCAGCTAGGCACCTCCCTTCAGAGTTTTCTATCAGTGATTGTTATAAGCTCTAAGATTTTGGCCCTCCTAACACGGAGTAGCCCTTTTTGGTGTGTACATTGCCCTCTTCCATTTGTGAATAGAATTGTTGTAAGCTCTATCTATTGCACTTGACCATTTGCAGAGAGAAAGCATAGAAAAGAGGAGAAATGAAACAATGTTTCTCTTTAATTTCCTTCATTAGCAATATGCTCACTGGCTGTGCATGGACTGAAGTGATTTGTGAGATAATTTGCTAAATATACTATATCTACTACACAATTAAAGAAAGTGAAAATTCCCATTACAGTTAATACAGGACATTCTAAGTTTCATTCCTTGGTGCAATTTTCCAGAGTGATGGTTCACCTTTAAATGTGCATTAGAACGATTGATTAATCAACGAGAAATCAGTGAGAAACAATAGAGTCATAGCAGAGTTTATCTCACACAAATATCATTAACATGATGTCCCCGTACTGCGACTACTGAGGTTTAAAACATTATTTGAATATACATTAGTATTACAAGCATTCTTGATAAAATAATGGAGAATACGATCATAATTGTCACCTAGAACAGGGTTTCCCCATTAGTCTAGAATTTACTGATATCCCAGGTTGGTTCCTACAGGGATACTAACAAAACCACTTGTGTCTTAAGCATCAGAGTCAGTAGAGATGTTTAAGCAGCAACTGGATAAATACTTGCAAAAAAATAATATTCAGGAATACACTTTTTTTAATATGTCAGGTAACAGCTTCTTGATCCAATGAGAGATTTGACTGCCATTCTGGGGTTTGGAAGGGATTCCCCCCCTAGTTTTAGGCAAAATTGCAAAGCACTACAAACTGGGTTTGTTTGCTTTTCTTTTTTTGGATCAACAGCAAAAATAAATGTAAGAAAGACTGAGGTCTCTTTTTAGCCTATAACTGTAACTATGTGAGAATATTTAATTGGCAATTTGCCCTATGGGTAAGGAATGGATTGGTTGAGATCCTCATTCTTGATAAACTCAGCCAGGGAGCAGTGTGGAGAATGACACTTCAAGGGCTGAAAGGAGCTTTTTCACTGCTTACATTGCAGGCTGGTAACCTAAACAGTTAACAGGACACTATAGCATTAAAAATGCATGTTTGTATTCCAAACACCATAGTGATCCTTTAACCCCTTAAGGACTGGACTGTTTTTGCGATGTTGTACATTTGCGACCAGGCATATTTTTACACTTTTGTGGTGTTTGTGTTTGGCTGTAATTTTCCGCTTTCTCATTTACTGTTCCCATACAAATTATATATTGTTTTTTTCAGGACAAAAGGGGCTTTCTTTACATACCTTTATATAATCTCATGTATTTTAATTTAAAAAAAATACAAAAATCTGATGAAAAATTGAAAAAAATACATGTTTTTTGACTTTTACTTGAAAAATCTTTTACTCATCTACAAAAGCGAATGAAAAAAACTGCTAAATAGATTCAAAATTTTGTCCTGAGTTTAAAAATACCTAGTGTTTACGTGCTTTTTTGCTTTTTTTTTTGCATGTTATAGGGCTATAGGTACAAGTAGGATATTGCGGTTTCAAAACATACATTCTTAAAATTTATCAATAGTGACATTGTAACACTATTATCTGTCATAAATCTCTGAATAACACCCCACATGTACATATTTTTTTTAAAGTAGACAACCCAGGGTATTCAATATGGGGTATGTCCAGTCTTTTTTTTAGTAGCCACTTAGTCGAAAACACTGGCCAAAGTAAGCATTCATATTTGTTTGTGTGTGAAAAAAGTAAAAAAACTAAATTGAGCGCTAATTTTGGCCAGTGTTTGTGACCAAGTGGTTACTAAAAAAGACTGGACATACCCCATTTGCAATACCTTGGGTTGTCTTCTTTTGCAAATGGTATGCCATCATGGGAGTAATTCTCATTCCTGGGCTACCATACGCTCTCAAAGGCAACGTAACCAACCTGGCCATTTTCAATGTAAAAATATTTGACCCATATATTTGACCTTGTAACTTTCAAAAATGCTATAAAACCTGTACATGGGGGGTACTGTTTTACTCGGGAGACATCGCTGAACACAAATATTAGTGTTTAAAAACTGGAAAACGTATCACAACAATTATATCATCAGTAAAAGTGCTGTTTGTGTGTGAAAAATGCAAAAAAAGTAACTTTCACTGACAATATCATCGCTGTGATATGTTTTACTGTTTTGAATCACTAATATTTGTGTTCAGCGAAGTCTCCCGAGTAAAACAGTACCCCCCATGTACAGGTTTTAGGGTGTCGTAGAACGTTACAGGGTAAAATACAGTGCTAGCAAATTAAATTCTCTGGAATTTCGGCCTGGGTTGGCAGGCAGGTCCCTCAAATTGCAATCAATAAAATTACTGAATTATGTAAAAATATTACATAAATACGCACGTAGAATTTAAATATATATGCATATTTATATATTTGAAGTCTACGTGTATATTTATATAATTATTTATGTAATTTTGTATATGGACGTATGTATATTTCTTATTTATTTTTATATACATAGATATATATACAAATTCATTCTAAGTGTATTTTGATATAAATATATATATATTAATTTTAAAATACAGTTAGAATAAAATTTCATATACTATATAATTTTTTTTTAATTTTTTATTATTATTTAAAAAAAAAATTATTTAATTTAAATTACTTATTATTTATATTTTATATATACAATATATATAGTTATTATATATATTATATATATACGTGTGTAATTTAATTATAAGTGTATTTTTATATTAATATAAGTACATATTAATATAAAAATACACTTAGTATGACATTATATATATATGATATATAGACATATTATATACATATAATATATGTCTATATATCATATATACACATATATAATTATTTATTTATTTTTTATTAACATTAACTTTATTTTTTTTTTTTGATTTTACACTAGCAGGGAGACTGCCTGTCAGCACAGACAGTCCCCCTGCAGGCAGACACATGGACACCTATTGTGACCATGTGATCGCTGTGTTTAGCGATCACATGACCACAGGGGTCCTAATCTGCCGTGGGGAGACTGTCTGGGCTGCAGGCAGTCTCCCCACAACCGGAGCCACGCTGATCGCCGCCGGGGGAACGATGGCGATCAGGTAAGTAGCTCTGACCGTTAGGACGGTTCAGGACCGTCATCGGTCGGCAACGCAAAAATGCAGATGACGGTCCTGAACCGTCCTCGGTCCTTAAGGGGTTAAAAACAGTCAGGACTACAATTTTCCCTTTATTTTTTATAAACATCTTTCCCAGGTTATGTTAGGTCGTAATTTGATATAGATAATACTTAATAAGCAATAATTTAGTTAGATGCATATTGTGTCTTTACTCCATCTTTCTATGTACATGAATAATGCATGCAACCAATAACAATCTGATCAACACAACCGTATTTGAATGTTAAATCACTTGCCTTAAACACATTAGTACTGTTAACAGAGCCAAACCCAGCATGTGTAGATTGCAAGTTATTCAATGCCTGAAAGAAAATAAAAAGGTAAAGAAAGTATTATATACAAAGCCAGAATGCTCTAAGTGAGATACAAATGTTTTATTGACTGAATTTTAGATGGCATCTTATGTTCCATGGATACTCTTTAGCAGGTTTTTGTATGGTCCTTGATGTATTAACTTGCAAAAGTTTTGGGACAAAATACAAGCTCCCAGTTGCACTTTATCCCTTTCATGTCTTACCATTTTCAAATAATACCGTTTCAGCTACCCAATATTAAGTGTTTTCACTTGGCCATTTTATCACAGATTTTGCACACAAAATATGGTGTTTTGTGTTACTGTAAATTCGAGGGTTTACTTATGTTTCCTTATGTACTTTTTCATAAAGTTGGCCACTACAGCTTATGTGATTTCCCCTTTATCATCATATACTACTTTCTTAGGCTTTGAGCCGTAAGACTGTTTGTACTCTCGGCTCTCATGTCAGCTATTACACATCAACACTTTAAAATGAATTTTTGCAACAGAAAGTTCAAATCCATAGTACAAAACACAAATAATAAATTCAAGCTTACAGTATGCAGATTCCAAATAAGAATGTAAAAAGAAACCCCCATTAACTACCTGTCTCATATCACCTTGTGCAGTGAACACAATGGCTTCTAAGCCATCATCAGTACACTGAACATTTTCCTTCTCCACAACAGTCATCAACCTTGCGAGAACCTGTGCATCTGTCAGTTTTGTGTAGCGAAGTACAGCACAACGAGATTGGATGGGTTCTAGAAGTAAAAAGAAAAAGTGGTCAGAGTGCTAACTCAGTAATTACTGCCTGAATGAAATAAAAACAGAAAATAAAAAGTGGAAAATACCTATAATTTTGTCTGAAGCATTGCATGCAAGAGCAAAGCGTGTTGTCTTGGAATAAATTTCCATTGTTCTTCTTAATGCTTGCTGAGCTCCATCTGTCATACTTCAAGAGCAAAACAAAAAGAAACAGTAATTTTCACTACTTGGATAAGAAATAAATATCAAAATTTCCACTAGCCCCTTGCAAAATTAGTGGAAAATGAGCCATGGGATGCCTTACTGAGTGTAGGGATGCCGGCAAAAAGCTGCAAAACCTTTGAGAGCTGTTCTGTGGAAAGTTCTAAATATAGCATCCCTGTGGCTGCCTCTGAAGTGATACATGACATCACTAAGGTGCAAGCAGCAATACAGGTGTGTTTAGAACTCACTACAACCCAGTAAGAAGAAAAAGCATGGGGAGAAAGGTTAATGATTAGAGGAAGGGACATTGGGAGAAATGATAGATAAAAGTAAATGGGATAGCAACTGGGTGGCAATGAGGAGGAGAAGAAACATAATTAAATGGTTAGAGAGTGAAAACTGACTTGGTTTAAAAATGGCATTGAATGGGCAGCACATCACACACTTCAGAAATAGCAGCAACAGAGAAAAACAAGGTACCTGTCTGCTTCATCCAAGATGATAATTTTATGTCGGCCTTTTGGAAGAGTTACTTTCTGCTGTGCAAACATTTTTATTTTGTTTCTCACTACATCAATGCCTCTAGGGAATATAAGAGCGTTATAAGTTAATATAGTCTTCACAAATGAAAAAAAAAACAAATGTTAAAGTTACAAAAGGCCAAATATGTTTGAGTGTGAATAATAAACACGTGCAATGGTTATACTGCTTGAGTGCTAGAATTCCCTTAAAAGAACACTGTAGGTACCATAGCCACTTCATATGTTGACATGGTTTTTGTTCCTACAGTGATCCTTTAAACCAAAGCCAGCTGTATAACTGCATTTGGGATATGGAAAAAAAACCTTTAAGGAACACACCAAAAATCTACAGCACCTTAGTTTGCTGAAGTGCAAACTAAAGTGCTGTAGATTTTGCAATGTCAATCTTCCGTTGCTAAGGCCAGTAAGGTTTTGTCATGTATAAATAGGGGCATAAATTCTCGATATGAAAACAATTTTTCCTCTTTATAAATCGCTGGTAAGACCACATCTTGAATATGCTGTGCAATTTTGGGCACCTGTTCTAAAGAAAGATATCATGGCACTAGAAAAAGTGCAGAGACGAGCTACAAAATTGATAAAAGGAATGGAGCATTTTAGTTATGAAGAAAGGTTAAAAAAATTAAATCTCTTTAAGTTTGGAAAAACGGCACCTGAGAGGGGATATAACATTATACAAATATATTCAGGGCCAGTACAAACCATTATCTGGAAATCTATTCATAAACAGGGCTATACATAGGACACAAGGTCACACATTTAGGCTGGAAGAAAGGAGATTTCATCGAAGGCTAAGAAAAGGTTTTTTTACAGTAAGAGCAATAAGGATATGGAATTCTCTGCCTGAAGAGGTTGTTTTGTCAGAGTCTATACAGATGTTTAAATTGCAATTGGATAAATACTTGCAAAAACATAACATACAGGGATATAATTTCTAATTAGTGGGGTAATAGCTGCTTGATCCAAGGAGACATCTGACTGCTATTTCGGGTCAAGAAGGAATTTTTTCCTAGTTTGTTGCAAAATTGGAAGCGCTTCAGACTGGGTTTTTTTGCCTTCTTTTGGATCAACAGCAAAAACATATGTGAGGAAGGCTGAACTTGATGGACGCAAGTCTCTTTTCAGCTATGTAACTATGAAGTGCTGTATCTGTGTGTCTTTCTCATTTTACAAAAAGTGCAGATTTCAATAGAAATTGGTACTTGTTTGACCCCTCAGGCTGTCAAGGACAATTGGTCCTGTTACTTTCTTGTTTGGTTAGCTCAGTAGGGCTAAACTTAAGAGGCATGCAATTGCTCACAACAACTGCCTTAAAAAGTCTTCTCATTGGGCTGCATTGGAAAATCTGTGATTGGACAGTCACAGAAAGTCTGGTCTGGGGATGAAGGGGCTTGCAAAGGCAGCAGACAAGATATATGCAGCTTTTGCAATCCCAATGATATTTACTAAATAGGAATTTGCTATTTTGTAATTGGGCAGTGGAGTGTCCCTTTCATACCCATTTAAAAAGTTTCCTTCCACATAAATATTTACACACACATTCCTAGTACACAACCAGTTTCAAAAGTTTACAGCCTGAAAAGAAAATCAAGTAATTTTGAAAGGAAATGTGTAGAAGTCAAACTTACAAAACTTGACAATAGGCGGCGCTTGAAGTGAAAAAGGTTCTTACAGTTGTCCATCAAATTTACACAGAATACATCAGTAAAATCAATCCCACAGGGCCACTTTTAGCCCACAACTTGGGCATTTCCTACTCAAGCTACAAGTGAACAAGGAATGCATTTCTACTGTAAGTACACTTCAAAAAAAGGGTATCAAAGATAAATGTTACCCCATACCGATCATTTGAAGCATTGAGCTCTAGCACTGCATCTTTTAGTGCTGATCCCAGGAGTGCACGGGCCAAACACAATATACTTGTGGTCTTGCCAGTTCCAGGAGGACCCTGTAAATGTAAAAACAGTTTCCGGTCATTGCATTTCATACTATCCTGATCTCAGCAGCTGGCATGCAATACCTAGAAGTGTTATTCATCTAAGTGAGAATTCAAAGTAAATTTCAAATTTAAGGTCAAAACAGCAGAACTCGAAACATTTTCTCAACTATGCTTTCAATTCTACTATACTGTCACTAATTTAGAAATTCACTTTAAATTCTAATTTTAGAAATTAACCCTGCAAACTAGTGTTTCCTAAATCTTCACTCTGCAAATTTAAACATACATGTTGTATGTACATATAAAGTTGTTAGATATATTGAGTTGTCAACAAAAAAGTTGCTTGCACACTATCCCAAATCCCTATGCATATTTAAATAACTGGAAGGTTTTTTTTTTTTTGTAATGCGCAAGTAACTTTTTTATTTGGCTTTTATTATAAGTATTAAGGCTGATGTGTACTATAGTCATTGCTGCAGCCCAGGAGTAGTGATAGTTTGAGCGCAGGGCTTAATTTTGTTCTTTATTTAGTTATCAGTATTAACCAGTTTACAAGTTCCAGGTGCAAAGACTTACTGCAATTATGATGTTTGGAACATTTCCTTCCCTTGCAAATACCTAATAGAAAAATATATACAAAGTTATTAAAGGGATATGCATAACACAATTATGTTTTTAAACCAGCAAGCAAACACTTTTAAACAAATATGCAAACAAAAATAGGAAAACTTAGAAAAGTATGTAATAAACGTTTATAAATGTACTATAAACTTGGTCAGATTTCATTATGAATTGCTTACAATTCTCCCTTTAATAAATAACTATTAGGTATGGGTTGCCTTATGTCAGTTTTGTCCATATTGTGAATGTACCTACAATGGGGAAATATATCTCTTTTCACCCCGGGGAACCAGGCAGTGTGTACAGTGAAATAATTTGAAGTATGGCTGCTATCAGTTAGAATACAGATCCTATCATCATTTGAGGATTGGGACTGGGGGTAAACTACTGATACTATAAACTCCTGCTGGACAATGGTTTAAGGCAGTGGTTGGCATCCACTGGACCCCAACTTTACAAATAGGCATTCATCGGATAGCGAAGGATACCAAATTAGCGAGCTATCTACAGATATTATATTTTTAATTCTTTAGCTATATAGTTGAAAGGGGCCCTCCATCCATTTACAGAAAAGGCATCCGGTTCTCACATGGAAAAATGTTTGTGGACACACAGTTTAATGGATAAGATCATACCCTAAATGCCAGAATAAGAAGCCCCTTAGAAGTATATCAGCCTGATGTGGGAGGTATATGCTACAGACTGTCTCACTAAGCAGAGCACAAAGTGTCATTTTCAACATAATTCTCTTTTTTATTTTATGCATTAACTATGCAAAACATTAACATTGTCACCTTGACATTCCCCTTATGCCTTCAAAGTACAATATAAAACAATCACCTCTAACCGACTGACAGTTTCTTCATTTCCAACTATTTCATTTAACTTCAAAGGTCTGTATTTCTCCACCCTGTACAAAAACAAACTAATGTCAAGTTCTAAACATCTCCACAAAATAAATTATGAACTGCTTCCATGTATTTACAGTAATATGCCTTATAGCCCTTAACGCTGGCCCAGTTTAGGTTCTGTGCTAAACAAGCCATCATAGTAAATTTGCATTAGGAGACCACTGATATTCCATGCATGTAAATGGTCAGTACATCTATAGAAAGTAAGTGTTCTGACAATCATTTATTTTGAATCTGCCCAGAAATAAATTATAATTTTTAATGCCACAGGATCCTGAAAAGTCATAATCCTCAAGTATCTTTGCTCTTGGGAACCAAAATACTACCTCCTTCATTTCCCTGGTGCAATTGAGTCTTTAGACACCTCCTTTTCATACATCATATAAACTGCAGCAATTGGCTTTATGGTGTTGATGAAACTGCTACTATTAAAGAAACATTATTGCGCCAGCCCTGCCCATGATCATGACTTGACAGCATTAGATTGCAGACAATTCAGTGTTTACACTGATGAGGACGCATGCACCGTATTAACCCCTTCAGGACGGAGTCAATAGTGCACGTTCTGATCAAAACAAAACCTGGAATTTGCGCTATATGTCTGTTCAACCGTAATTCACCGCTGTCACATTAAGTGCACCCACACTTATTATCTATCATTTCGTTCAGGAGAAACAGGGCTTTAATTTATCATTAACTATTTATATATGGAACATAATTTATTATGAATAAAATGTAAAAAAAATGTGAGAAAATAAGATTTTTTTTAAATTTGTATTTCCGTCTGACATTTTAGCTGTGAATGTCATAATACTGTTAGGTTTTACTGCAAAAAATGCACATATTTGTAATCAGCAATGTCTCATGAGTACAACAGTACCCCCCATTAACAGGTTTTATGGTGTTTTGGAAAGTAACAGGGTCAAATATAGAACGTTCCATTTTCAAATTGAAATTTGCCAGATTAGTAATGTTATCTTTGAGAGGTTGTGGTAACCCAGGAATGAGAATTACCCCCATAATGGCATACCATTTGAAAAAGTAGACAACCCAAGGTATTGAAATTGTGGTATGTTTAGACTTTTTTAGTAGCCACTTAGTCACAAACACTGGCCAAAGTTAACGTTCATATTTGTTTTTGTGTGAAAAAAAGCAAAAAACTAATATTTGGCCAGTGTTTGTGACTAAGTGGCTACTAAGAAAGACTGGACATACCCCCCCCCCACTTGCAATACCTTGGGTTGTCTACTTTTGCAAATAGTATGCGATCATGGAGGTAGTTCTCATTCCTGGGCTACCATACGCTCTCAAAGGGAACATAACCAATCTGGCAAATTTCAATGTCAAAAAAATGAAATGCAAGCCTTATATGTGACTTTCTAACTTTCCAAAACACCATAAAACCTGTACATGGGGGGTACTGTTATTCTCGGGAGACTTCACTAAACACATATTAGTGTTTTAAAACAGTAAAACATATTACAACAATATAGTCCATAAAAGTGCCGTTCGTTTGTAAAAAATGCAAAAAAACTTCACTTTTACTTAAAATATTATCGTTGTAATAAAATTTACCAGTTTGAAACACTAATATTTGAGTTCAGCGAAGTCTCCAGAGTAAAACAGTACCCCCTATTTTTCACATTGAAATTCGCCAGATTGGTTACGTTGCCTTTGAGACAGTATAGTAGCCCAGGAATGAGAATTACCCCCATGATGGCATACCATTTGCTAGGGATCAACCGATATTGATTTTTTTTAGAGCCGATGCAGATAATCTGTGAACTTTCAGTCCGAAAGCCGATAACTTACCATTTTAAAAAATAAACTATTTCTACACAAATCTACTGTTAACGGAACATATTTTATTTATTTAGCAAAAAATTTTTTATTAAAGGACCACTATAGTGCCAGGAAAACATACTTGTTTTCCTGGCACTATAGTGCCCTGAGGGTGCCCCCACCCGCCCGGCTCTGGGGAGAGGAAGGGGTTAAACAGTTACCTTTCTCCAGCGCCGGGCGGGGAGCTGTACTCCTCCTTGCTCGCGACGTCATCGGCTGAATGCGCATGCGCGACAGGAGCCGCGCGCGCATTCAGCCGGTCGCATAGGAAAGCATTTACAATGCTTTCCTATGGACGCTTGCGTGCTCTCACTGTGATTTTCACAGTGAGAAGCACGCAAGCGCCTCTAGCGGCTGTCAATGAGACAGCCACTAGAGGCTCTGGAGGCTGGATTAACCCTCAGTATAAACATAGCAGTTTCTCTGAAACTATGTTTATAAAAAAAAAGGGTTAATCCTAGAGGTACCTGGCACCCAGACCACTTCATAAAGCTGAAGTGGTCTGGGTGCCTAGAGTGTTCCTTTAAGGTGAATGCACAAAATATACATGCCAGTCAGAATTTTTTATGTTTTCAAGAATGTGTGTGTAGTGGATGCAGTGAGAGTATTTGATTAGTGAATGCAGTGTGTGTTTATGTAGTGTGTTTGTATATAATGAATGCAGAGTGTGTGTGTTTGTGCAGTGAGTGTTTGTGTAGGTATGTTAAGTGTGTAAAAGGGGGGAGGGGGCATTATTATTTTTTTCTTAACTTAACTTTTTTCTTAATATTTAATTTTTTTTAAGTGATGTTTTAGTACCCTCTCCCTGCTTCTTATCTGGTCAGGGAGGTGGGATATGGCATTCTCTGGGGGTCAGGTGGCTTGGACTGTGCAGAGGGGGCCCAGCACACTCTTACTTACCTTCCCAGCAGCTCTCCGGTCTAACTCCCACAGCCAGTGTGCCGCGCGGAGTGTTGCCATGGTAACCCGTGGCAACACTCTGGCGGCCACGGGACTCACACAAGGCAGCTGCTGGGAAAGTAAGTAAGAGTGTGCTGGGCCCCCCAGGACCCTAATGTTGGCCCCGGTCTGCATTATCGACCAATACCGATATTGCAGAAAAACTGAATATCGGCCAGACCGATAATCGGTCGATCCCTACCATTTGTAATAGTAGACATTGCAAGTATTGCAAATGGGGTATGTCCAGTCTTTTTTCGTAGCCACTTAGTCACAAACACTGGCCAAAGTTAGCGTTGATATTTTTGTGTGTGTGTGAAAAATGCAAAAAACTAATTTGAATGTCAATTTTGGCAAGTGTTTGTGACTAAGTGACTACTAAAAAATACTGGACATACCCCATTTGCAATACCTTGGGTTGTCTACCATTGCAAATGGTATGCTATCATGAGTGTAATTCTCATTCCTGGGCTACCATATGGTGTCAAAGGCAACGTAACCAATCTGGCTAATTTCAATGTGAAAAAAACTGAAACACAAGCCTTATATTTGACTAACGTTTGAAAACACCATAAAACCTGTACATGAGGGGTACTGTTATATCCAGGAGACTTCGCTGAACACAAATATTAGTGTATCAAAACCGTAAAACATAGCACAACAATATCGTCAGTGTAAGTGCCGTTTGTGTGTAAAAAGTGCGAACAAACTTCACTTTCACTTATGATATCATCGTTGTAATACATTTTACTATTTTGAAAACACTAATATTTGTGTTCAGTGAAGTCTCCCAAGTAAAACGGTACCCCCATGTACAGGTTTTATGGTGTCTTTTTAAAGCTACAGGGTTAAATATAGTGCTAGCAAATTAAATTCTCTGGACTTTCTGCCTGGGTTATTAGAAAAGTACTGTGGATAATCAGCAACTTTTCACAGAGATGCATTGAATCAATGCACCTCTACAGGGAATGAGCAGCACTGACCCAGGAAGAACCTCTAGTGGCAGCCAGAGTAACTCACTAGAGGTGCTACTATGCAGCAATATAAAGCATGCAGGGACAGGTTATAGACACCAGAACCACTTCATTAAGCTGTAGTGATTCTAGTGACTATGGTGTCCCCTTATGTGTACACACACATACACAACACTCAGGCTTTGAGCACGTGCACATTGACCCACATTGGGTTACATTTTTAGAATTACATGCCAACCTTTACACATGCAGAAGCTGCATACTCACACCTCATGGAGGTATCTTAATACACTTTTTACTTTTAAATTGTTTTAGTAGATTGGACTACCACCACCTATGTCCCTATTTTTAGATCTACAACCCCTGAACAAGGGAAATAACTCAAATTCTGCTCGACTTAGACATTTCAGTTCTCTCTCTTGGTTACTGTGGGTCTGCATTCAATAAATACAAACTTGCACTGAATACAAAGCCTGAACAGTACATTTGGGACTATGCAAGCCGAGTGGAAGAATGACCCCAGCCCGTGTATATTGCAGTTCCCTGTCCAATCAATGCTACTCTCTGTGTGTGTGTGTAATGAATGAGCCATGCAGGGAATGTCAGCATACAGCCACACTAACTCCCAGCCTGGCAGACACCGTGTGGCCCGGCCATTGCCTTGGACTGCCCGTCCTATGACTCCCAGCCTTGCAGCCGCCACGCTGGCTGAGCTCCATGGGAAGTGCAGTCCGCAGCAGAGCCGCTCGGCTCTCTCAGGCAGAGAGTGACAGTAAAGCCCGCACGCTTTATCCCCCGGTCTCACCAGGGCAGCTCATAGGTGCCGGCGGGTCCTTTGCTGCCCGGGGCTGGCTGCTCTTTAACCCCTGGCTGCCCGCTGGGAGCGTCTTCCATGTCCACCTCCATGTTTATTTCCCGCCAGCGCCAAACGCCAGTGACAAGAGACGCAAAGCGTGCCGCGTCATCGCCTGGCTCCACCCCCACCGTGCGTCGGTGAGCGTGGCTAGATCACGTGCCCGCCCGGAGTCTAAGCGTTCTCCCAGTGTTAACCGTGTCATTGCCGAGCTGGGCGGTAGCTGTGCTAGGCGCATGCTGATCCCACCAGTAGGGACATAGTGCATGTTACCTGGGGGGGGGGAGGGAGGGAGGGGTAACGCTATATGGGATTGCGGCTGCCTTGCACCCTATGGTTAGCCGTCATTGCTGACAGGGTTATTCACTAAAGGGAGAATTGATGGGAATTCCCTAATGAATTAGAAATTTGTGGCCAAAATAGCTCAAAGTAAAACTTTTCCAGTTCACCGATTTTGGTCCAAAATTTGAATTCCCCACAATTCACACAGTGAATAACCCTGCCTGCCCTGTTGCAGACGTGCTAGGACCTATTATAATAAATAGTAACTGTATTACAAGCGGCAGAACTAACATAGAGAGGAACTGGTGCAAGAATCGTTTAGCCGCCCAATCGCAAGGACTGCCGAAATGTAGATCCCCATTTGTCGTACAACTCCCACACTCCTTTGCCAGCTGGGGATCTACCATGCGCACATCCTTGCAGGGTTGTATTTGGCACTGAGCAGTGTTCGTGTGCTTGAATGTAAGCTAGCAACCAACTATAGGGACAAGCACAACCAGAGACATAATGATATGGCTCTGGAAGATGAGCCCTTCAGGTCAGAAGGTGCCTACCATATTACTGTAGAAGAGTATTGGGCGAGTACGAGTTGCACCAGATCTAATGAAGTAATTGGGCCAAAGCTGAAAGGACACCCAACTGCAGATGTGTTTGGAGGGGGAAAGAAAGTCCTCTGCTGCAAAGAACAATTTAAAATAGGAACCTGGAATGTTGGCAAAATTGGATGTGATCTAACATGAGATGACAAGGTTAATCATCAATAATCTGGGAATTAGTGAACTCAAATGGACAGGAGTGGGACATTTCACATCAGGCAACCATCACATCTTCTACTGTGGTCAAGAATCCTGCAAAAGAAATGGAGTAGCCATCATAGTAAATCATCGGGTGGGCAAAGCAATAAATGACAGAATGATTTCAATTTGAATTCAAGGCAAGCCATTTAACATCACAGTGATCCAAGTTTATGCTCCAACCATGGATGCCGAAGAGGCTGAAATTGTCCAGTTCTATGAAGATATTCAACACATGATAGATATAACACCAAGAAAAGAGGTTACTATCCTCATAGGAGACTGGAATGTTAAAGTAGGAAACCAAAAGACACCGGGAATAACTGGCAAGTTTGGCCTTGGAGTTCAAAATTAAGCAGGTCAGAGATTAGCAGAATTCTGTCAAGATAATTCTCTGGTCATAGCAAACACCTTCTTCCAACAGCCTCCAAGATGATTCTACACATGGACATCACCAGATGGGACAATATAGGAATCAGATTGACTATATACTTTGCATCCAAATATGGAGGAGCTCTATACAGTCAGAAAAAACAAGACCTGGAGATGATTGTGGCTTAGACCAAGAGCTTCTTATTGCAAAGTTCAGAATTAAACTGAAGAAAAGAGGGAAAACCATCAGACCAATCCGATAGGACATAAATAATATCCCTTGTGAATATGCAGTGAAAGTAAAGAATAGATTTGAGGGACTCGACATGGACGATAGAATGCCTGAAGAACTTTGGACCAAAGTTTCCAATACTATCCAGGAAACCGCAAGAAAAAATATGAACAAAAGAAAGAAATCTAAGAAGGCAAACTGGCTACCTGATGAGGCTTTAAAAATAGCCGAGGAAAGCGAAAGGTAGTGGAGATCGGAAAAAAATTGTCCAACTGAATGCAGAATTCCAAAGGATAGCAAGAAGAGACAAGGAGACATTCTACAATGAGTAATGTAAAGAGATAGAATAAGATGATAGAATGTAAAAGTCAAGAGATCTATTCAAGAAAATTGGGGATCTAAAAGTTACCTTTCGTGCCAAAGTAGGTGTGATAAAAGACAAAAATGGCAGGGACTTAAAAGAAGAAGATCAGATAAAAAAGAAATGACAGGAATACACTGAAGATCTATACAGGAAGGATCTTAACAGCAGTGATGACCTCAATAGTTGGTCCAATGAGATGAAACCAGAAATCTTGAAGAGCGAAGTGAGATGGGCTCAGGATGTCTTGCAGATAACAAGGCTGCAGGAGTTGATGATATTACACTATCAACAAAGGTCCGCATAGTCAGAACTATGGTATTCCCACTAGTAACATACGCATATGAGAGCTGGAGTATAAAGAAGGTTTAGCGTCGTAGAATTGATGCCTTTGAACTGTGGTGTTGGCAAAAACTGCTTAGAATCCCTTGGATTGCAAGAAGATCCAATAAATCCGTACTACAGGAAATCAAGACAAACTGTTCACTGGAAGCTATGATCATGAGGCTGAAGCTCAAATATTTTGGCCATATAATAAGAAGGCAGGATTCTTTAGAGAAGACTCTGATGCTGGGAAAGATTGAAGGCACACTAAGAACGGGACGACGGAGATGGATAGACGAGGTCACTGAAGCCATGAACATGACGTTGTTGGAGCTCGGAGGGGCAGTGACTGACAGATGTACCTGGCGTCCTATGGTCACGGAGAGTCGGACACGACTGAATGACTAAACAACAACAACAAGTGTTTGTGTGCTTGAATGTAAACTAGTTTGGTATGGTGTATATGTAAGTGAATTTAGGGGTTTGTATGTAGTGTTGGTGTGTGAATACAGGTGTGCATTTGTGTGTAGTGTGGTTCATGAATGCAGTGGTAAATTATTTATAATGGTGGTATTTTAATACAGAGGTATGTTTGTATGTAGTTTTAATGTTTGAATGCAGGAGTGTAGTGTTTAGTGTTGGCAAGATGATGAGAACATCTCAATGAGATGTATGTGCATATACACACACAGGCACACATGCAAATTCACTGTTGCACGCAGATACATAGACACACACAGTGGCATAGATGCAGATACACAGTTACACACACACATGCAGTTACACAAACACTGACATATACTGATACACAATGACACATATTCAGGTCAAAATGTACACATTTTCAGCCACCCTCCTGTTACTTACCTTTTGGGTGCAAGAGGATGGATTATGCTGGCTGACGCTGTTGGGAGTCAGGTTCTGGCTCTCCCAATCTGCGCCTTCTCCTCCCTATCTCTCCTGCATGTTTCTGTATTAACTAGGAGGAAATTACTGGCTTTCATTTCCTCCAAGCGCTGCCATTACATTATTACAGGGGCCCTTAAAGGGCGCTGTAAAAGGGCTGCAATGCACAACAGAGCCCTTAAAGACACTTGCCCATTGGGTGGCCCTAAGTGCATTGGCCACCCGATGTAGCCGCAGTTTTACAGATGCATATTACACTTCTTCATTGCACATAAGTTTACTAGTGCAGTGGAGCGCTAGTCCTGGCAGGGATCCTTCATTGCTGGATCCATCAAAGTACTATCAGGAACACAGATAAGAAAAAACACAGAAGAAATATCCCACCTCCTCCCCAGCAACAGGATGACACATAGTTCTGGGAGTACAATTTAACTTAATTTGGTCACACACGGTTTTTATGCCCAGTCCCCTAAAGGGGTTTACAATACAGTGAAACGGGTTTCAATCCTCTGTGCCTGAGAGATAATTGCGTGAGAAAAACCCTCTAATTTAATTATCTCTCAGGTAAAAAAAAAAATCGAACAAAATTTAGTATACCCCAAAAGTGCCCCAATCGTACATAGGAACTCCACAAACAGTACATTCCCCGATAGCCCCGATCTGTGTGTATAACATATCCAAGAATCACTCAAATCTGTTCTATGAAACGGAAATGCCATCGAGGTAAAGTTGTGACCAGCCAGGCATGAGGCTCTAGCCCAAAATAGTTAAAGGGAAATAGGTGCCGTGGCCGGTCTCTGTTCGTGAGGTTCCAGTGCGAACACTATGCAAGGGAATTTCTTCATTTCAGTATACGAATGCTTCCCCTGTTCAGTAGTTCCTATTATGTATGTATTTTTAATTTGTTTGACAAATATATTGTTTAAAATATTACAAGGGCATTGAAAATTCACAAGATCCTTACTCATAGTAGCAACCCCTGGCAACCAACTGGTGGAACTCCAGTTGCCTTTAACAGAGAAGGTGTGACTTCTCTCCGTTGATCAGGAATTCTAAGTGGGTCAAGTGATCCATCGTCCAGTCCAAGTGTTTAAGAAGCTTTGCATGATCTTGTGATAAAAGAAGGATGTCATCAAGGTATACTATGTGGTGAACCCATCTGCTACGGAGGAGCACCAAAACCGGTCATAGCAATTTGGTAAAACACCAGGGGCCAATGACAGGCCACATGGTAGACGTGTGAAATGCCATAGCTCACCATTCCAGCAGAACTGAAGGAAGTATCTGGAAGAGGTTATGACTGGAATACGTTTCCTTCATATCCAACTTATTCAATCCTGAGATAGGAGGAGATCCCACAGTAGAGTTACTCCTCCATTTTGAACTATCAATAGCGCATGTTGCCATTTAACCAGCAAAGATTGGAAACAAGATGCATCTGCCCTCCTTTTTTCTAGACCAAAAAGATGTTCCTCATGAAACCTGTTTATCAAAGGGGTACCGTTATATGGCATTTTTACCCCAGAATTTGGACAAACCTGCGTCTATGAGACTGGCCGACTAGTCAGAGAATACAAGTCAGGGAGCCATGTAAGTCTGAATAGGCACCTGGACAAAATCTATACGATAACCCTGCACTGATCCAGAACCCAAGCATTTTATGTGATTGTTACCCAGGTGAGAGTTCCCCCTACAGGATACCGGGAAGAAAGGTGCATTAGATACAGACTCACCATTAGGATATCTTGTGTATTGGCATCCATGCATTCCATGGCATGACATCTTGTGTATTGGCATCCATCTAGTGTCCATATTTATTCTATGAGCTCTCCAAGGGAAGTCCCTCTGGATGAGGTAATCTGATTTGGAAGTTGCCTTGGGAAGGCAAGAGGCCTCTGGTATGTCTGAATAAAATGTAAGCTGCAGTGTCTTGGAATAAAATTCAGAATTGCCATAAGATCAGGAAGGAGGAGGGTGGCTAAAATACGAATGCTGTGATATATTTCTATGTGTATATGTTGGTATCAATTTATGTATCAATGTATGTGTGTCATGTGTATATCTTTGTGTGTGTATCTGAGTGTCAGTGTGTGTACGGATCTGTGTGTAAGCAAATGGCTGGTCCACAGCTAGCATTGTGCGAGTTGTATGATGACAGTTGAGGATCTACGTTTTGGCCATCCATGCTCTAAAACATGATATCTTGTACCCAGGCCCTCTCTTTGGTAGTTCAGCTTATGAGGGAAAGGGAAGATTTCAAGTATGCAGACCAGAGCTGTAGTGTAGAAGGCTGAAATTATGCAACATTGAGATGATGGAAAACATACTGTAAGCATGCAGCCCAGAGGTGATGGGCCCAGAGACAGCATTTGAGTGGAAAGCAGACCTCAACAATATCATGTAAACAGATGAGCAAGGGACAGGGTTACAGTCTGCACAGCTATGTCCTTAAACATTCAACTCTAGCACTGTCTGTCATTGCTCCGTGGTACTGATGACGAGGACCAGTAGAGGGCTGGCAACAATTTGTCCTGGGAATTTCCCTAATATTATATAATCATGCTATAATTAATTAAGGGGAACAATGGGTATTAATTTAGCCTAAACTGCGTAAGTAATTAAATAGATAATGCATTAGAAATTATGTAAACAATATTAATTGTCTTTAATGATCTTAGGTAGATGCTGCAGCTGGAAGACTCCATCCTTAGCAAGAACAAACTTTATAAGATGATAGCAGCTCTACCAGTCCTTATACAGTGATTTGCAATTTTGTAAACCAGTCTCTGTGTAGCAATCTCTACATGGCCATGACTTGGGCTCTTCTTAGTGAAAGAAAGAAAGGTATTTCTTGTTTGTGTGGTGAGCACATTCTGTATGCACAAATTATATAGATCTTTCAGTGGGCCCTGCACACGTTTGCGATACTGAGATCCACTGCCATCTAGTGTTCATATTTATGTGTTGCAACCTTCACAAAATTATTTTATGTACTCTTTTGCTATCGCACATCACCAATCCCCCTACATGTGAACCGCTCTGGACACCATTTTTTCCCCAAAAGTGATCTCCCAGTCAAAATCTCACATGGAATATCTTAAACTTTCCTTGCTTTACTGTAGGAAAAGGACATTTACTTTGAATACAATACAATTCTCATTTTAGTGAATAACCTGGTGAGTGGTGATTTCATGTTCAAGCCTAGTCCATCTCTCTCTGTCTGCCTCCCAAACGCCAGAAAAGGATCTCAGGAACTGGTCTGTGACCATCTCTCTTATTGCATTTGCACCACTACACCACTAGATATGAAAGATTACTAAAGTGGGTGGTGGTACATGGTGTAATGGGATTAGTAATTGCTACTGGAACTGGATGTGATAGAATTAAAGATGGGTAATGTGATCAGGGCTGACAGTGATGATTTTGAGGATGGGGTAATGCAATTGGGGGTGGGAGGGCGAGGATTAGGGATGGGCAATGTGAAGATGGTAGTGATGAGACTGAAATTTGATTTTGGCATGGTAGTATCATTGAGGATGGGGTAATGTGATTGGTGTTGGGAGTATTGCGATTATTGCTTGAGTTAATGTGTATGAGAATGGTGGTGGGGAAGAGATTATAAAGATAGGATAATTAGGGGATTTAAAGGCTGTGGTGAGGGAAGAGATTATGGAGATAGATGTTTGTGGTTATTTGAATTTTGGTGAAGGGATTATGGGGCTGTGTTGAATGACATGGTGTGAGGAATTTAGGGCTGGGTGAAGAGACTAAGGTGATAAAGGGAGGGATTATGATGATGGGGTAATGTGATAATGAGTGTATTTTAAAGACGGGATAATGTTATTGGAATCTTTGATGATGAAGGATTACAAGGATTGGGGTGAGGTTTTTATTTATAAATGGAAAAGGATTAAGGTAATGTGATGAGGATTCATGGGGAAAGAGTAATGTGATGTTAGAGATTATAAAGGGTTTATGGAAAATTAGTGATGTGGTGGTTGTTTGAAGGTTTGGAGGGATGGGGCTAATGATGGGATTAGGGGTATTATTTTATAAAATTATGACTTCTGGATGGGAGATGAGGAGGGTATAACGAAGTTAGGGGGACTTATGAGACAGATTGAGGAGGGGATTGCAAGTCTCATATTGGAACTTTGCCTAAGGCATAATTATAACTAGAGCTGCCTCTGATCCTTACTATGTATTTGTCTGAGTGCTCCCCCCTTCTAATGCAGGCTGCTATTCACAAGTGCTGTCAAAACTGAGCTGTGTAGATATGATAATTATTGAGTCTTTTTCTGAAATGGGGTGTGTGGCTAAAGAGAAATTCTTAATGTGACAGACTGCCTGGCACCCCGACTGGGTACATCCGTCAATCGCTGCTTCCTAGTAATCCTTGCGTACCATAAGCACCGCACCAGACACCATAACCACCGTGAACCCCACAAACTGCCACAGCTTGGTTGGGGTCTTGCTGTCCTCCACCCACCCATTGCCAGGATGCAGCTTCCAGTAGGTAGACCTCTCCTAGTCCAGAGAGGGAATCAGGCTGCTCTTACAAGAGCAATCGTTGTGATCCAAGGGAGTATAGTGATTATAGCAATCCCCAGAGTGAATATAGCTCTCCAATCCCCCAAATATGAGCCTAGACTTCATGAAGGGTAAAATGAATCTTAGTTTAATGGTAGCCACAACTGGTCTTTTATGACTGTCCCCATTCAAGGGGCACTCCTTCCTGGACCTGAGAGTAAGCTACAGTAGAAACAAATACACAATCACATTGGCTCTCAGGTCCAGGACACTCCCATACAAAATAGGTCAATCCTTCCCCTATGCCTGGTACATAATTGAGTCAAGCACTATACTAAACTCAATTATCTCCAAACACAAAAAACACATTTTTACAAACCCCCCAAAATACCTTAAAACACACAAAACCCCCAGTTACATCCCCTGATAGCCCTGATTTGGGTGACCAACATATCCCAAAATCATCCAGATCAGTTCAGGGGTTCAGGAATGAATGTCCTGGAAGTCTTATTTTTGACCGACCGCCCACCAGCATGGTACCATGCCCAAAACAGTTCCAGAGAATCAGGGCTTGCGGTTGGTCTAGTTCGGTAGTTTAAAAGCCGAACAAACTACTGAACAAAGTCAATGTTCTTACCCTGGAGCTTGTTTCCCTCATCCAGATGAACGATTTTACAGAACAGTGCCCCTCTAAATCGCATAGAACTGAACGCAGGCGATGATGGAAGTCCAGCGGTGTTTGGGAGTTTCTGTGTCCAATTTTAGTTCCATGAGATTCATGCCCAAACACCGCTGCCTGCGTTCATGCGAACAAGATGGCCACCATCTCATGGTTGTCCATAGGAATTGCGGCCACCCGGACGAACAATTAGAACACTGCAGTGAGAACCGTTCCAAGGTGTTAACATGCTCCCGGGTGGTCCCTGGTTCGTGCGGTTGTTCGTTAGTTGAACGGGACAATGTTAGAATAGGAGGGGAATGCAATCAACCGAACAGAACAAAAATGCATGAACAAGATCTTTTATGAGCCTTTTTGCATGACCCATAGTCCTGAGGCAGGAGGCTGGCAAACAGGCCCCTCCAAGAACACATGACGAGGCTCAGTTCGTCACACTTCATCTAGTGTTTCTGGTGTATATAGTATGTACCGTCAGGCTAAGCATTGTAAATGTTGCCTCTTCAGAGAAAGGCTGCCTAGTGACACCTCTAGTGGCTGTCAATCTAGAGGTGCTTCCTGGGTTTGGTATTCCAAAGACTGCAGAGTCAACATTCTTTGTTTCCATGCTCTGTATGGAGACGCTGACTGCTCTCCATAGAGATACAATACATCTCTGTGAGGAGATTCTGATTGGTACAGTGTGACATTTTGCTACACATGAACACAAGCCTTCCAATTCTATGGGAAAAATTGGATTGGCTGAGATCATCAAGACTGAGAAGGTGGGGCTGGCTGCAGAAAGTACAATGCAATGATGGATTAAAGGTAAGTAAATCTAACCTTTTTATGCACATGGAGGTGCGCTGTTCAACTCGAGAGCAGACAGGTCACAATAGTATTAAGAATGCATTTTTGTATTCTTAATGCTATAGAGTTCCTTTAAGTTGAAACATTCTGCAAAAACATATATTTGTTTATATTCCAAAAACCAGATAACCTGTTAGATCCACAAATATTTTGTTAATGCCTGAAGTGTCCCTTTAATAATACCCCCATTCCCTTTCCATTTACCTAAATTCAACAACTGCCTATTGTTTGTTTTTTTCTTAAATAAAATTCTACTTTACATCGAATACTGGTTTGTTTAATTACACTTTCATGTGTACAATTTCCATGAAAATTCATGAACTGGACTTTGATATACTGGCCATTATAGCGAGAAAAAAAGTATTTTAATAAGGTTGATCACTAATGTTTGTACTGTTGGGAATTCAACGTGAATTCCAACTGAATTTAAAAGTTTAGGTCAACAAACTGGGAATAAAATCAAAAAGCATAATTTTCATTTTGTCTAAAATGTTGAGTCTTTATTTA